TGAGGCAGGATTCAAACTTAGATCTTCCTGTCTGCAATCTAGCACTTTATCCAGTATGCCAACCAATTGCTGAGGTTTTATTGGTGGTCCCCTTCCATGGAAAAGCATTGAACACATCTTAGCTGTTGGAATATGAGGAACTGGTGTAAGCAAAAGGCCAAAGAATCAGATACTAGGCTGTCAAAGTTTTGCTTCTCACGCCCATTCTTGGTATGTTCATACCTTAGTGCAACCAATGATAAATCATTGTTCTAAACATTGACCATAAGAGAATGCTTTCTCAGAAATACTGAATCTGCATTCCAATGGTTGTTTTATTCTTTAAAGATCAAAATCTGTGTGGTTAGCAAAGAAAAAATTAGGAGTTCTAGTCTTGGGTTTGTCAATAACTAACTGCATGAACCTCAGCAATTTTGTTCAATTAAATTCCATTTGAAAAACATATAAGAAGAGTCTACTATGTGTAATAAAATTTTTTAAATGCTGATACTTAAAAAAAACCAGCCCTTTCCACCAATAGAACACTGTCGTGTTTAAAAAAAGTATAGTCAATCAAAATCAACCAGTTGGTAACGTCTGTGTGAGTCTCACTCTTCACGTATAGTTCATGACTAGAAGATTTACTTCACCCTTAGTTCTATAAAGTAGCAATAGGACGCTGTGCTGATCAGAGTTCAGCAGTCTTTCAAAGTTGTTTTCCTTTCTGTAACTGTGGTTATTGTATAAATTGTACTTATGGTTCTACTCACTTTTCTTTGTATCATCAGTCTATAAATTCTTCCCAACTTTCTCTGAATTCTTCACATTTGTCATTTTTCTAAACCATAGAATAAAACTCATTCACATACCATAATTTGTTTAACTGTTCCCCACTCAATAAGTCGCCAATAACACTAGGTCAAAGGGCATATGCAGTTTTGTAACTTCTTTTCAGTATAATTCTAAATTGTTTTCTGGAATGGTTGGACAAATTCATAGCTCCACCAACAGTGCATCAGTATGCCCTTCTTTCTAGAATTCTTCCAACTTTTGTCATTTTGTCATTTAGTTACATTTGGCAACTTGATAGTAAGAGGTAGAATCTCAGCGTTATTTTAATCCCAATGCATTATGCTAGGCTCTAGATATACAAAGATGAAATAAGAAGGCATGCTATCTGCACTTTGGGGTCTGTAAAATGAGGGGAATGAATTGCTTGACATTTAAGATGCCTTCCAGGTAGAAAGCTTCATGACTGCATAAGTAGATAGAGTGAGATGTTTACAATGCAGTTTGCAAACATTAAAATATCACGTGTTAATTTATTACTCCGTAACTTTGTATTATTATTGTTGTTGCTGTTATATTATTGACAGAAAGTATCAAAGGTATGCTGGAGTTGGGGCTACCTATTTCAGTGTGAATATTTACAGCTTGGAAATCAACAAATATTACAAAATAGGGTTTGATTTATTGTTTCATTTATTGTCTAGGCTTAAGAGAGTGATGGAGAAAATGTTAATAATGCAAGGCAAAATTGGGAAGTGTCAACTACGTACATTTTCCCCCTAGTTGTTATATACTTACCAGTACAGTCTGGAATATGATACAAAATGTAAACAGCTGGCCTTAGAATTAGGAACATCCAGATTAAAGTCCTGTCTCTGACATTGGCTATGACCAACTGGGCAAGTCTCTTAACCTCTTATTGCCTTAGGATGATCTTCACTGCTAAGGGGAATCTTTTTTTTTTTTTTTACCAGACATTCCCTACAGCAATGAAACCACAGGCCCACTGCAAAAATTGTATTATTATTACTTTAGATCTCAAATGTTGATTTGAAATAGGGGTCTACATAATTCTCTTAATGTTAGCACAATGATCATTTAACCCTTTCTAGTATTACTTTTCAAGTTTATTGATCTTTTCCCATCTAGTGTGCATATTCATAATTTCTCTCAAAACCACCTCCTTTCTCTATGTTGTTTCTCTGTCCAGGCCCTGGTTATCTATCTTTCTATATCTATCTATCTATCTATCTATCTATCTATCTATCTATCTATCTATCTACCTGTCTGTCTGTCTATCTACATACATACATACACATATATACATATCTTTAATTATCATCAGCCTTGGGAATAGGAGTACCTAATATAGTGTGATTGTAGAGGCATCATGAAGGCCTCCCCTGAATGTCACTACCACTGACTCATTTTTTCTGAAATTCCACTACTGGTCTTTTGTTCCTTTAGCTTAAGATTTTATCCCTTTATAAAATACAACTATCCCTGGGAAGAGCAGCTCTTTAATATTCATTAGTCATTTAAACCTTCATATGGATACTTTCATACACTCCTATAGCTGATCACTAATCTAACCATTTTACAGATGAGAAAAATGAGGTTCAGAGAGGTAGAAGGACTAGGTTAATATCATAAAAACCTAGTAAATGGTAAAACCAGAATTCAAATCAAGGTCTTCTGCCTTCAAATGCAGCACTCTTTCCTGTACAGTGGATGGCCTCCCTAAATAGAAGGTATAAATGGAATGAGATATGGGGAGGAAATACTGTTACTGAGGGGGATGGAAGCAAAAAGGGGTGCTACTGGAGGTGGGGAAGCTAAGAGTCTTAGAGGTAAATATTGCCTACCTCATTTTGCACAGGATTGCCCCTCCCTTTAGCTACCTTTTTGTTGTTGTATCATTTTCAGGCATGGTCTAGTCTTTGTGACCCTTCTTGGCAAAGATACTAGAGTGGTTTGCCATTTCTTTCTCCAGCTCATTTTACATAAGGAAACTGAGGAAAACAGGATTGAGTGACTTGCCCAGGGTCTCATAGGTAATAAGTGTTTGAGGCTGGGTTTGAACTCACAAAAATGAGTCTTCCTAACTCCAGTCCTGGTGCTCTATCCAGGGCACCACCTAGCTGCCTCTTTAGCTTCCTATTACTGCCAAATAATACCCTTTTCCCCCCTAAACTTTTCTAAGGTCAACTGTTTAGATTTAATTGAGCAGACCACTCAATCAAAAACATCAATGAAACTTGGGCTTTACATTTCCAAATGATCAAATGTATTGGGTAAGCAGGTAGATTATCTTCTAACCCTAAGCTGCATTATAAAGTGCTTTTGTTTTTCTCTCTGTTATTTGGATTTCTTTGCCTGGTTTCCAATGTATGCTTCGTGTATTTTATTTAATTTCTGGTATTCCTGTGTATATTTGTTGTTATGTCTTCAAGTTTTTTTTTACACTGTATATGTATACATCAACATTGTCTGTTTTAAATTGTAACCTTATAGAGCAGAAGCAGTGTGTCTACTTAAAGTTATTAGTATTATAACCAGTAGAGAACAATGCACAGGTGGGTACCTAATAAATGTTTTCCAAAAATGAGCTAAAAGGAAGCTCTATTCCATTTGATTTGAATGCTTTTCAAAAGCAGAAGCAATTTAGAGACCTCAGAAAAATGATTGGTAACATTTTGGTTTTAGAAACAGTGAAAGGAATCTTTGAAATGCTATTGTTTTTCTAGTACAAATGGAATTGTGAATTTTGTTAAGGGAATGAAGAGGAAGCTGGAGCTATTAAAAGATGCTTAATAGGTCACATTTTGAAAAGAGTAGAACTCATGTATGTGAATGAATTTGGAGTTACCTTTGCAAAACTGAGACTTTTTACCTAGCTACTGTCTTTATTTTTTAAAAAATATAGCAGACTTAATGCTCCAGTAGGGCAACCATTATTTTTCCTTATCAAAATGCTAATAAAGCATTCCCATTTCCTTTTCTGTGACCACTAGATGTATTCAATTCTTCACTTTGAGCTAAAAGCTAAACACCACATAGCTATCTGAGTACTATAAAAAGGCTAGTCTAACATAAAAGTAAGCAAAAGGGAAAGTTGAACAGTTCTCTTATAATTTGAGGTACTATAAGTGACCCACATGATTCCAGGGCCAAAAATTTAACATTAAAGATAAAGCCATCCAACTTGTTTGTCTACACTGGACAAATCAATCAGCCAACTCTCCCGTCTCTTTGCTTTGCTTTGATTGGCAGATGCAGTCTTGTATGAATGTAGAATTTTTTTTCACTGGGAAAAAACCACCAGAATAGGAATTCAGCTATAACTATACAAAGAAAACTCTTTATGCAATCCTATATTCCTTATGGATTTACTAAAGGTACTGCTACATATAAGCCCATGAGACTTAATTTACTAGATTTACTAAAATTTTCTGACTGGGTATGATTTTGAGACTTTAAAAAAAATCACCCTGCAAATATACCAAGGGAAGGTTAAGTTTAAACCAAAAAGGGGATGTGTGTATTTTAAGTCCAGATCTTGAATGAGAAGGAGAAGGAAGTATATCTAGAACAATCCTTTACATAAGAAAATGTAAACTTGCATATGAGAAGTCTGAAATCTCAGTTTTAAAATTAGCCTATGGCAATACATATATAAATTCTTTCAAATGAGTATATATTTGGCTACCTCCTTCAGTTTTTAGTGAGCTTTTTTTTTCCCAAGGGAGTTAATGTAACATTGAGTGAAACGGAAAAGAAAAAAATTAACAATTGAAATGTTAGAAAACTATTTCTACTACCACAAATGGACTGGCAGTTCATAAACTTTTATTATTAAACCTAGAGAAAAATTGTGAAGATTAAATCTATGAATGATAACATGATTTAAATCCCCTTTTTAAAATCATGATTATATAAGTTTTCAAATAGATAAAGCATCCTCATTTGTAAATATTGCATTGTGATATTTTTTCTTTCATTGTTTTTGTACCTGTTACTATATTACTACATAATTTTAAAAGATTAATCTGATTTTGAAAAAAATATTTAAAAGAGTACAGTGAAACTTGTAAGATTGCACAGTATTTATATAGTTTTTTGTGGTCTGTAACTCTCATTTAATAAATATATTTCTTAGAAGACTGAATTTTGGAATAATACCTAACAGTTTTTTCTTTAATTTAACAGCAAAGAGGACTCAGAAATATTAGAGAATAACTGTAATAATTCAAAGACTACAGGTACAGTTTTTCTTTAATCTCTAGCAAAAAAATGTATTTCTTATGGTTATAACCTATAGCAGGGGGAAAAAGTCTTACACAGGTATAATTATACTCACTTTTCAGATATCTCCCTCCCAATGATCATTTGTTCTCATGAGGATAAGGAAGACATGGAAGCCAGTAGTCAAAATGTAAAAGATGTAAACAGGGAATATGATGAACACAGCAAAAAAGAATTAGAGCTGATGGTAAGTATTCTGGTTGCCACAGTGTTAGAGAATATAAACCATTTATGCTTCAAAGATGGCAAAATGTCTCCTTTTCATTAGCATCTACTAATATAATTTACAAATGTGAAAACATGGTCTGTGCTGTCATTGCATCTCTATCTTGATCAAAAAGGCATTTGGATTTCAGTAGGTTGCTTTCAGTCTTTGTAGTCTTAAATTAATGACTTTTGTTTCTTATCTCTTTACCAGTGGCTCTAAATAATAGTTTTTAGGAGTTATAGGAGAGGTAACCCAATATTGATGCCTATTCCTAATCTTCTTGACAAATATAAACTCTTCCCTTTTGAAAATGAAGGGACTGGATGAGATACTCTCTAGGGTCCCTTTCAGCTCTAACAATCTAGAATTCTTTTAGTTTCATAGTATTCCTTTATTTGCTTCTTTCCTCATAAGACTGCCAATGGTTTACATTGCTGTAAAGTATTGAATTGCCCAGCAGAAACAAGAGAGCCTTTTGCTATAATTTTTAAATAAGAAAAAATTCTGTAGCATCCAATTTAGTATTAAATTTGTTATCATAAATTTCATACCCGGTGAACATTCAATCCATTTAGATTTTTTTTGATGGCTTAACTTACATTTTTCATCACAAAGGGAGAAATAGCAGTAAATGAGTCACATAATGCAATTTATCCTTACCAGTGTCTAGTTTGAGCTTAGAGCATTGGAATACATGGATTCATAATAATCTAAGATTAAAAGGACTTTTGCCTCTTCAAGTGTCAGCGCTGAAGCAGGAAAGAAATAGAGCTCATCTCTTCCCCTTTCCCCCGCCAAAGCACCACCTTTTCTAGAGTGATATGGAGGATGCATCACAAAAGTATGCAATTTACTTTGCTCCAACTTTAAGTAACTACAAAGTTGTCACCCATTGTGAGAATTCTCCCCAACTGAAAGTTAACATTGCCATTTTTTTTCAAACCACAGAATATAATGAAAGGACCCTGAAAAATCACATACTCCACTGATGCACCTCATTACAATGAGCAGGCTCAAATATAAAAGTTTGTTTAGAAGTCACTGAGATTGCACGTCCAATAAATGAACAGGGAACGGTAATTTAGATGCTAATTTGCACCATGCCGATGTTAATGCATAAAACAATGAAGCTCTATAATAGATGGAAATACAACCAAATCTGTGAAACCCACAGGCATTGGCTTGCAAGACAGCTGTGCAGTTGACAAGTAACATGAGCCTTATGTGAGAAGAAGGGGAAATCGTAAGATTTGCATATAATTATTGAGATCATGCAAATGTCAGTTATGAGGAGAAAAAAAAAACACAGGCATCTCACTGTTAAATCCTGACAGTTGGCATCACTGAAGAGCTCAAATACATTTGAGTACCAGTTGGCAGAGGGTCATTAAAACAGAATTTGCAGAGACATTAACTCCCTCACTTTTCTTTGAGTGACGTTTTGCTATTAATAGTTTGCAGAGGCTTTGCAGAAAACATATTAATAAGAGAAACTGTAATGGGGGCACCTACAGCAAGTGTAAATGTAGCAAGGGGCACCCAGGAAGCTACTCTCTAATTGATCAGCATGGAGCTATCAATGTATATATCCTAAGTGAGGAGAGAGAGCAATGACAAGCAAGAACAGTTGAATAATATAATGTGATATTTGGAGGCTGGGAAGGAGAGTGATTAGTTTTTGGCCTTTTCCTTAGTAATCTCATTCTCAAATCATACTTTAGCAAGATTCCCCCCCAAAAATCCTGCTTCGAAGACTATAAGAAACCCATAAGTGAAATGAGGTAATGGTACTATGCCTGGGACTTACTAACTGGGCAAATGAAATTTATTTAATTCATTTTGCACATTTTAAAAATCTCTTTTGGTCATTGTTTTCTTTTTCTTCCCCCCAAAGCTAAATCAGTACTCAGTAAGAACTAGAAGTTCTACCAGAGATGAAAGTTCATTTGCAACAGAGCCAGTTACTTTTCCAAATACAGCTGAAGAATTTGAAAATCATCAAACCTTTGGTGAGATAAGTGGAGACTTGCTCAGGAGGCCTTTGTCTCCCAGTTCATTGGCAGAAAATCCCTTGAGGGGAGAATCATACAGCAACCCAAAGTGTGCCTTGAGAAATGAAGTTAGTCACCAATTGGCAGAGGAACTTACTTCAGGTCTAGCAAACAGCAGCAAACCATCATTGAGATACACCGATAGTGGTGAGACCTCTCCTTTACTTGGAAGTGTCTTTGCAAGACAACAGGAAGAACGTTCTCATTTTCTGGACGAATCAGAAAGGCAAGGAATAAAAAGGGTGGATATTTCAAAAAGTAAAACAGATGGTGCAATGAAAAGTGAGATGGTGAATAGATCATTTACCAGCCAGGGGAATGCTCACAGCTACAAAAAGAGCCATGAAATGACACTGGAAACAGTTTCTTCAGAGGACAACAAATTAGTGCCATTAGGCACCAGTGGCATGGAAGTACTGGATGATAATGCCAATCCAGCAGAAGAGGGTCAGAAAACACAAGCATCTTGTCCAACTGCATATTTGCCCTTGGCAGGCAATGCTGATCAAGACAAAGAAGGAGAAAGAACCAAGAAAATTGAAGTCAAAGACTGGGAATGTCCAACAAGAGAGTCTCTTGCCTATATACCTGCCAGTATGAATGCTTCCAAAGAATGCCCAGTTACAGAAAAGAGAAATTCTAGAAAGGGGTGTAGGAATGGTAAAGAAAAGGAGGAACAAAGAATCAAGTTTTGCATTAGTGAAAGGCAAAATGAAAGTGTACTGTCAATCTCAGCTGACAACCAAGGGAGAAGAGGACATCCTGAAATAAGTGTTAACATGAGTCAAGCTAGTAATAGATCCTTATGTGACTCTCAGAGCAAAGTAAATGAAATCTCTGCTAGCTCCTGTGACTTGGCACCCAAAGTTGATAGATCACATTCTCTCAGAACTGATTTATCTAGCCCCAAAGATGTCTTTACAACCCAAAGGAGTGGTCTAGCAAATTCAGAAGGCACCACTCCAGAAAGAATGCATGGCCAAGTTTGCTCATCAGAAAATGGAAATGTCTTGCAAACAGATCTGTATCTTTCCCAGGTTCAAAGAGAGAAATCAGATAGGAATATTCCTGACAATCAGAATAAGATTGCACGTGGAAATCAAAGTTGGAATGTTCTGGAAAGTCAGGTAGTTTTAAGAGAGAGTAAGACAAATAGAACAGAACAGATCAAGGAGCAAGCAGATGGTGAAGACATGTGGGAAATAAGAGATAATACAAGGAACCTGAATGTTACTCCTACAGAAGAATTGTTTACCTGCCAAGAAACAGTGAGATGTGAACTGTCTTCTGTAGCTGATCATGGTATTACCGAGAAAGCAGAAGCAGGTACAGCTTATATAATTAAGACAACATCAGAAAGTACTCTAGAAAGCATGTCTGCTAGAGAAAAAGCAATAATTGCTAAGCTACCTCAAGAGACTTCTCTAAGTGACAGGCCCACTGAGGAAAAGGAAACAGCGTTTGATCCACATGAAGGGAGAAATGATGATTCACATTATACCCTTTGTCATCGGGATTCAATGGATGTAATCTGTGACACTGACTTTGAAAAGAAATCACATTTAGGTATTTATAATGTACACATAGATGAAACACGAAAGGAAGAAACTATGTCTCAGTGCAATTCCGGGAAATACTTGACAAGGCAGAGCGGGGCATTAGAAACATTGCAACTGTAGGAGAATCTCTGCAGGTCACTCCTGAGAATGGAAAAGAAAGCTCAGAACTGGATTTCTACTCAGCACAATCACCTACTGTTCCAACAATTTTGAAGAAAAATATATGCCATGCAGAGGCCCGAGGACTCCCTCAGAAGAATGCTGATTTGGTTGCTCTCACTCATCAAAGTTTAAATTCTGAAAGAAGCACATGTCCTCAAAATGGTGCTCCTGTTTCCACTTGTCCTAATAAAACTCAATCCAATGAGGAAGTATTCGCTACAGAGTATCCAATGGCTGCCACGCCATTCAAGTCTATTCCTACGACATCAGAGTGCAAATGTGAAACCCACAGTGAAGCCCGGTGTATTGAGAAAAACCAGCATCCTGGGTCTGTACCTCAAGAATGTAACAAGACTTCCAGTGATGGGAGAGAAAGGTTCATAGCTGAAAGTTTCCAACAAACAGAAAATAACATGGAGAAGTCTCTAGGGCCAATGATTTTAATCAGTGAACCTATCGAGGAGATGGAAGAGACAAGTTGTGAAACTGCTGAGTTAATAACCTATGGACAGGAATTAGCCTCTCCAGGTTTTAAGCCAGATAACGAGTCTGACTCCTCCAGTCTCACTGCCCAGGACAATCAAACTCTGGCCACTGAGTCTCTGCTTTCAAAATACATCAACTCGAAAATACCATATTTCCTTATGTTCATTCTGTTTCTCCTAACAACCTACTATTATGATTTAATGATTGGCTTGGCATTCTACCTTTTTTCATTGTACTGGTTATCTTGGGAAGGAGGGCGACCCCAAGAACCTGTCAAAAAGAAGTAATCTCATAGGTTTTATTATTCATTTAAAATTTAAGATATTATGCCCCCAAACATTTTGATTGTTAAAAGGGAATATTCTTTGTTCAAAGAACGAGTGCAGTTTTTCTCTTGAAGGATCATTTAAAAAGGAATGCATATGAAGTTCACTCCTTCATATAAGTAATTATTCTATATAGGACCATTATGTTTGGATCATTAAATACCTATATGAATATGAGATCTGAAGCACGTCAAGTTAAAATTAGGTACAGCTGTTGCTCCTTAGCAGGCTATGAAGATTCAATGCTTCACGTCTCTTCACTACTTAAAGTGCCATTTTCTTGCATTCATTTCTTTTACAATAAGGCTTCAACTCCCACCCCCACCCACGGTTTTACAAAATAGTTTAAGAAATATTTAAAACATAGCCAATGGTATGAGGACTTTTATGAAAGTCGTCTAGTACTGGCCATACAATTTTTGTATTTCCCACTTGTGTTGGTATTATTTCCTAGAACAGCTTGGGAGAGCAAATAGTTCTTTCCATTTCTCTTTCATTGTTTAAAGATATTTTCTGCATATTGGGAAAAACAGAGCTTTAAATAAATAAATACGCCATAAATACAACAAGTTTGTATATGTCAGATTTTGGCAAGATAGGTGCTTCCATACCACAAAACTAATAAAGATTAGAACAACCTTACCACTCAATTGCACAAAACTTTTTTGGGTGAGTGTTTTTCATATTTTTTAAAATATTCTAAAGTAGACTATGTAGCACAACTGAACAATTTCATTGACAAACGTGATTTGAGATAGAAAATTTTAATTCATTTTTTCAGAAGCATTGCTTAGGAAAGCATTTATACCTATGAAGCATAAAGCATTAAATAACAGGAATTAAATAAAAAAATGAATTTATGGTACTTGGTACATTTATAAGTGATGTATTTTTTCTTAAACAAAAAAAGGCAAGACTAATATTTTAATTCATTTTCATTTTAAAACACATTATAAGTCTCCAGAAGGAAATAGACATCTTTCTATGCATAAAAACACAACAGTTAGGCACTAGTCACAATCATAACTTCTAATCTATTAGTTTATTAAGGTGATGAAATTGATTTTAAACTTGGTAATAAGCAGTTGCAAGAATGTATGCAGCAGGAAATAAACCTCTGATACAGAGGTAACTGGCAGAACATATGGTTAATTTTATAGAATAGTGGAATAGATCACTTTATCAACCGGAGAAAACATTAAAATTTTGATGCCACTATTTTACTTTGGACACCCTTTGGAGCCCCTTCCAAGGGGTGAACTTTGGTATATTTGAGTTTGTTTAGTTATTTCTAGAGATCATGAGAAAGACTCCCTACATGTCACTCTATCTGTAGGACTTTTTTTCATCTCTTTATCTCAGAGAAGGGGATAGAGCACCTAATTCATCCTGAGATAACAGCAGCATACCTTGTTTCATGAAAATGATAAACCAGAAGATCACAAGTTATACATAAAACCATATGCATCTAAGAAATATTTCTTAAACTTCATTTTCTATATCATAATTACAATAAATTTTATTTTAGCTGATCTTCATGCAATAGAAGAATGTATCTTTCTCTCATCATATTAGATAATTTCAGATACCTTACTTGTTCCAGACTATATGATTCCATCCATCCTTCAAATGCCATTCAGACTAAATGACTGACATTAGCTTTTTAGACTAACATATATAAACATCCTGACATAGAACTTAGGGCAAATATTTGATTGTTTGAGCTAGCATATTTTCATTTAAATACAAGTAGAATACTGTAGGCAATATCTAGAATATTATCTCTAAAACTGCTGTGTTGATAATTTTGTTGACAGGTCTATACAAAGTTTGGAGAAACAGTGTAGTTAATGTTAGCATTTCTTCAGGTCTTAATGGTATGATTTTTGCATTCTACCTTTAAGGGTTTTTAGTCAATATGTCATATCTTATTGTTGTAAAACAAAACACTATATTGCTTTATTGAACATAGGTGCCTTGACTACAATTATGAATTTAAAAGAACAAAGTGACCCATTTTACTTCCTGTATTTGATTTTTGATAACATTTACTTTCAAAATTATCTCAGTAGTTATTCGTAGTATGATATCAGTAACCTCCTTAGGACGGAAAAATATTCAGTTGTAAATTTATCTGAGTGCAGTGAAAAAACGGTGCCTGGTTTAGGCACCAACTTTTCCACCACTACTTATGGAGCAATTTTCAGATAAAGAATGAAATAAAATAATAAGTACTTGGGGAAATCTTGATAGGTAAGTAGAAAGATAGATTTAGGCAAGTCTGTTTTGGTCGTATCACTATGTTGAATAGGAAAAATGGCATGCAGTGAATACTAGCAGATCTCCACTTATCCAAGATCTATCCCTGAATTAACATGGCAGGTATAATCTTTACAAGTATCATTGCCATCAACATCCATCCCTAAGCATTTGTTGAGTGCTCAAAGGGTGTGTGGCACTGTAGTAAGTTAAGTGAGGTGAATCACATGTCTACTGTCTGAATTGTGTAAGAAATGTGAATTGTTAAACCTTCATATTCCATCTTGCCCAGTCTGCTGGCTATACGTCAGGAAGAAAATTCTAAAAATTAACTAGCAGCATCAGCTATGCCACTAGTAAAAATAATTGATTTAGAAATTCAAATTTGTATAAGCCATCCCAATCCTTCTCAGTAGGCTCCTTATTGTAAAAGAAAGCAAGTCCACTAGGATTGTTCCCATCTATCAGAATTTAACAGTACAGAGAAAGGACAACATCATCTCCTCCTTGTTTAGAAGCACTTTTAAGAAATCTCAGGAAAGCATAAGAAGTCATCCCGCTTTTCTGAGAGAGTACCATGACCTCAATTGCATAATTTCATCTCTCTCAAGATGACCGACAGATTGCTCTACAAATCCCCCCCTTTTTTTAAAGAAATCAAGATCTAATATTGGCAAATTCATTATTGTAACCACGTTGCATATTTTTACCTCCTTCCCAGTTATCAGACTGGCTGGCTATTTCATAGCTCTCACTCTTAAAGAAATAAAAAATGACTGGAACCAAGAGTCAACTATTACCTCAAGGACCAACCTTCTCATCTGTTTCATGAAACACTTTACTATTTCACAAAATGCTTTACTACAGATCAACATGGTCAATTAAAACTAATGCAACGTGAGTTTTCCTGACTATAGGAGTCTGTCTCCTGTAAAATTATTTGTGAAATCATCCATTCTGGACACTGATTTGGTGTGTTGAAGGAATTCTGTCTCTCATATTTAAAGACTGAGCATAAGACCTTGGTGCTTGTTTTTACACATGGTTCTTAGAGGACATAAGCGGATGTGACTAGTGTACTCCACCTTCAAGGGATGGACTTCTGCTAAGTGCTAATATGAATGTATTTACAGAAAGGGTTTTGTTATTGTTATTATTGTTTTTTCATGTCATCCTGTTCTGTTACCATGAGACCATATTCTAGTTTTTCCCTATGATTCCAAAGGAAGGAGATACTGACCTACTATTACTACAACCTCTCCAGCCTGAGAAGAGCAAAATTAAAGAGTCAATTTAGGTGGAGGGGTAGAGTGGATAGAGGGCCAAATTTGGAATCAGGAAGACTGGATTCAAGTCATGCCTCTGAAACATGCTAGCCGTGTGCCTATTGGAGAAGTAACTTAATGTTTCAGGTCTCCAGGAAGCTCTCCAAGACTAAAAGTTACTGAGAAGGTTACATATATCCAGCATTGACATAATGAGTGTCCACACCAGGAGATCCCTACCTGAAGAAATTACAGGCCCATTTTCCTAATGTATTATTAATACATGCCAGAAGGACAGTTTCTCTTCATCTATTTAACACCGGTTTGATTGCGTGTCCAGTATTCCCCCATGACCATCCTGAAACTCCTTTCTATTAGTTTATGGTTTTATTTCAGGGGAGATAAATGCTTTTAAGTGTCACAAGATAGGCAATTATTGAAACTGTTAAAAATCTTAAAAGGCCCATCATCCTAAGTTCAGCATTTTGCTTGAATGCTTCATTTCATTTTTCAAAGTAGAAAAAAAAATAGAACATATGACATTTCAACACTGAAAAATTCCCAGGCTCCTTTCAATATATTCAACTTATGATAATGGAAGGAATCGGTGGCATGGATAAATCCAAAAGAGTAGACAATTAAAAAAAATTATTTATATTTGGTATCCACGACCTAATTGGTTTTGGCAGAAGATTTAGACTTCTAATGGTCTTTAACTAGGCTATTGTTTAAATGAATTTGCCCTTACAATTTTGCCCAGGCGACTTTACTTGCCTAACCCACACTCCCCTTACTCCCTAATTCACACCCTCTAGCAAAAAAAGCCCAACAGATTACCTTGTTCTTAGAACAACCCCCATTTAATTCTTCCTTAATTCTCTTTTTCATGCTGTCCCCTTTATCTGAAAACTTCTCATCTATTTTCTATCTAAATTTTAGTCATTTTTCAATGTCAATTCTAACACGTCTGTCACAAAACCTTCCCTAAGACTACTCTAACCCACACTGATTTCTCCTTTCTATAAAATCTTATGGTAGTTGCTGTTTGAAATACTTACTTGGAAACAATCATATACTTCTTTTTATGGTTATTGTTTGTGTATCTAATTTTCCTCAGTAGACTGGAAATTCCTAAAGAGCTCCCAAAGGAGGCACAGTGTTGGGTACATATATAACAGTTACTCAATAAAATATTTGTTAAAACTAATTAGCAGGAATATAATTGGTAATATGGAAAATAGTATAAGAATCACAATAAATGAAGGGCTCTAAAAGTTAGACAACCCTTGACAGCCTAAGATCACAAAAGAACACCTTTTTGAGAAGAGAAATCTTGTAGATGTAAGGGGAAAATGCTTTGGGAACTTGAATTTTTTTTTAAATCATTGCATAAAATTGACCAAAAATCATTGAGTATTTTAGGAAAATATTACTTAG